TGCTTCCATTTCTTCCAGATTGCCTAATTTGTTGGCATATAGTTGCTCATAATATGTTCTTATAATTGTTGGTATTTCTTTGGTGTTGGTTGTGATCTCTCCTCTTTCATTCATGATTTTATTTATTTGGGTCCTTTCTCTTTTCTTTTTGATAAGTCTGGCCAGGGGTTTATCAATCTTATTAATTCTTTCAAAGAACCAGCTCCTAGTTTCGTTGATCTGTTCTGCTGTGCTTTTGGTTTCTTTTGCATTGATTTCTGCTCTGATCTTTATTCTTTCTCTTCCCCTGCTGGATTTAGGCTTTATTTGCTGTTCTTTCTCCACCTCCTGTAGGTGTAAGGTTAGGTTGTGTATTTGAGACTCTTCTTGTTTCTTGAGAAAGGCTCGTATTGCTACATACTTCCTTCGTAGGACCGCCTTTGCTGCATCCCAAAGGTTTTGAACAGTTGTGTTTTCATTTTCATTTGTTCCCATGAATTTTTTAAATTCTTCTCTAATTTCCTGGTTGACCCATTCATTCTTTAGGAGGATGCTCTTTAGCCTCCATGTATTTGAGTTCTTTCCCACTTTCCTCTTGTGATTGAGTTCCAGTTTCAAAGCATTGTGGTCCGAAAATATGCAGGAAATGATCCCAATCTTTTGGTACTGGTTGAGACCTGATGTGTGACCCAGGATGTGATCTATTCTGGAGAATGTTCCATGTGCACTCGAGAAGAATGTGTATTCTGTTGCTTTAGGGTGGAATGTTCTGAATATATCTGTTAAGTCCATCTGGTCCAATGTATCATTCAAAGCCCTTGAGAATGTGAAAATATTTTAACGTATAATACTTTTTATTTGTTGCTGTATTTGGTTTGCTAGTCTTTTGTTTATGATGTTTGTATGTATATTCCTAACCAGTACTGGTCTGTTTATTTTGTTTTCTTGTCATGTCTTTATCTGGTGTTGGTGTCAGGGTCATACCTAATAGAATGAGTTGGGAAGTGCTCTCATTTTTCAAAGAGTTTGTGAAAAATTGGTATTAATTCTTCTTTGAATTTTTGGTAGAATTCACCAGTGAAGCCATCTTGTTGGCAGTTTCTAAAAATTAATTCATTTTCTTTACTTGTTGTAGGTCTATTCGTATTTCCGATTTCTTCTTGAGTCAGTTTTCAGTAGTTGTGTCTTTCTAGGGATTTGTCTGTTTCATCTAAGTGAATTTATTGGCATACAATTGTTTATACTATTCCCTTATAACTCTTTTCTATTTTTATTTTATTTTATTTTAGATATTTATTTGACAGAGAGAGACACAGTGAGAGAGGGAACACAAGCAGGGGGAGTGGGAGAGGGGGAAGCAGGCTTCCTGCAGAGCAGGGAGCCTGATGCGGGGCCTGATCCCAGGACCCCCGGGATCATGACCGGAGCTGAAGGCAGATGCTTAACGACTGAGTCACCCAGGTGCCCCTCTTTTTTATTTTTAAACAAATGTGACTTGGGTTACCTCTGCTTCTTCCTGCACTTTCTTTCCCAAAGCCTTTTGTTTGGAGATTCTTTTATGTTGACATATTTGATTTTTTGATTTAGTGCATTTATGAAAATGGCTGTGTTTAAAAGTTGTCAGATTGAAAGGCATACGGTTGTTTCTCTTGTTTGCTCTGGATGCGTTAGTGTTCACTCTGGCACGTGATGGTCTGGGGGCAAGGGCGCTTCTCGGGGATGGATACCAAAAAAGCAGAGTCACAGAGTTTGTATCTTCAACTTTATTAGGTGTTGTAAAATTGTTCTGTAACTCCTTTTTTTAAAAGATTTTATTTATTTATTTGACAGAGAGATAGAGAGAGAGCACAAGCAGGGGGAGGGGCAGAGGGAGCTGAGCAAGGAGCCCGATGCGGGACTCGACCCCAGGATCCTGGGATCATGACCCGAGCCGAAGGCAGATGCTTAACTGGCTGAGCCACCCAGGCGTCCCTGTTCTGTGACTCTTGGGCTTCTGGATGTGCTCAAGGGGCTACAGAAGTCCCAGCCTTGATAGGCAGAGTTTGGTTGTGAGTCACTCATGTGTGTGGCCTGGCCAGGGGGGGCTCATTTATGACATCCTGGTCTTGTAATCCTGGTTGTGGCTGGCTAACCCAGTCAGAGCCCTCCCCTGAATGCCACACACCATTCCTAGGAGTAGCTACTTGGTAAAAATGTGTGAGATTGAGACTTGAGAGACACCCACTTGGGGGTGAACCTCATGACTGATGTAAATGAAGTCAGCCGTGACCGGTTGAATTTGTAACCTATCGGAACAGAGAGGAAGTGTTGTACGCACCGAGTCTGCAGAAAGGGTCTGGGTTCTGGGGTATCGGAAGCGTGGTCTCACATCCAGGCTCTGCTTCCTTTGTAATTTCAGGCAAATCATTTCCTTCTCTGTCCTCAGTTGCCACATCTATAGAATGGGGGTAATAGCAGTTCTTAGCTCATAGACTTGTGGTTCACTGAGGTTGTGTGAAGTGTTTGGCGCAGGGTCTGGGGTCTAGCAGCACTGACTATGTCTCTGTCCCCGGCTGCCTTCCCATTCGCCGGCGCTGTGTCCTGAGGGTGTGGGGAGAGGGGTAAGTAGCTTCTGTTGTAGCACCTTTTTTTTTTGGTCCCCACTGTGGCTTCTGTATCTCTAGTGAATGTGATGTCCTGGTCAACTTTCCATGTTGTTTGACATGACATAATTTAAGTAGGGAACATAAAGCTACTTGTCTGAACGGCTTTGCAGACCTTTTCTAGTGCTTAAAGAAGTGCCGTAACAAAACCAGTGTACCTGTACCCTTGGTCGTGGGAACTTCATGGGTGCCCAGCTTCGTTTGCCACTCTGCTGAGTGTGGACTTGAGGGCCATCCAGCTGTGGGAGATGAGGCCCAGCGAAAGCCCTCCAAGGCTGACACTGGAGTCTCTGATGGGAAGCACTTGACATTTTTTTTTTTTTAAAGATTTTATTTATTTGCGAGAGAGAGAATGAGAGACAGAGAACACGAGAGGGAAGAGGGCAGAGGGAGAAGCAGACCCCCTGCTGAGCAGGGAGCCCGATGCGGGACTCGATCCCGGGACTCCAGGATCATGACCTGAGCGGAAGGCAGTTGCTTAACCGACTGAGCCACCCAGGTGCCCCTAGCACTTGACATTCTTAACTATGAACCTGAATACAGGCCCCCCCTCAGCATCAGTTCCCTGTCAACGTTGGACAGGACCACACCAGCATTTGTATCCTGTGGGTTTTAGATGCTTTTGAGTCTCCTGTACGTGGGCCCAGGGGTGAGTCCGCTGGGGTAACTGCCCCGCCCCCGCCCCGGGATGATCTGTGACACAGTCCTGTCCAACAAGAGGGCCTTCCGAACGTTGAGCATCTTTGTTTTTTGTCTAATGACACACTATGGGTTTAATTTTAGTAACTTGCCATAAACATTAACAGAGAAGACAGGCAGGATATATCAAGATGAAGGTTCTTTCGGAAAGTTAAAGCAGGTTCAAATGAATAGCTATTAGACTTATCAGAAGCTAAGCTATTTGTGACAGGAACGGGGAGGGAAGGGTCACGAGGGGATGAGAAACCTTCGAGAGGATTGTGGGGCCGCATTAAATGGCCGGGGACATGTGGTTCCCATCCATCATGAAGACGGTCTTGGCTCCGTGCTGGTGTTTGACTGCAGCGCGGATTGGCTCCCGTTCATTTCCCTCCGTCACTGAGCGTGTGGGTGTGTCTGCGTTTACAGGTGATGTGATATTCACCTTGATTCTAGAGCGAACGTGCTGTCGGGGGTTATGAAGATGCTGAATGATGACTGTGTCCAGTATCGGAAAAGCTCTCCAAGGCTCTGTGTTACCCAAACGTTAACAGAATGATCGAGAGAAGCTGAGGTCCCTCCGGGCCTGGGATCCTTGAATGCCCGGCTCGCCCCTACCTGTGCAGACCTGGTTTCTCCGACTTTCTGCGTGGAGGGGGTCCCACAGCCCAACCCCAGCATCTAGCCTGTGGCCGGGCGTACGGCAGGGCCTGAGCCCCGATCGCTCGTTATCTCTGGCCTCTTTGCCCAGGCTGTTCTCTCTGCCTGGAACGTACTTTCCACGCGCACGCCACCTTCCCTAGAGCCCCCTGCTCTGTCCCGCGGCCTCTCCTCCAAGGCCGGGCACCTTCCCTGCTCCCTCTGACAGCATTTTCTCTCCCCCGGTCGGGGACACTGGCTGGTAACGTGTGAGGTGCCAAATGTTTTAGGCCCTTGGGAACATCATGGACCTACTGATCTGTTGAGGCTGCTGTCTTGGTCCCTCATGCCGCAGCTAACGACCATGTTGTAGTAGTTAGGTAACCTGTGATCTCTGTTTTCTCCCTCTCTGCGGGTGACACGGTCAGCGATGTGCAAGGCCCGGTTGCCCATCCAGTTTACTCATGGCCATTTTATTTCACCAGAGCAAGGAGGCAAGTATCATGCTGTTTTCCTCAAAACTTTATCTTAGCCATGGGCTTCTAAACTGAAAATTAAATGCCATTTTAGGAAAAGAATACCCAATTCTAAAGACCAGTTTTGTATGGTCGATAAAAACACCTCCTGTAGCTTTTTGAAACTTGGTTACGTTGAAGGACTCTCTGGGTCTTTGGGGAATTTTGTTGGTGGCTTTACTGCTACCAAAGCGTGCGTGTTTCCCCCGTGCGTGGACGTGCTCTCCATGCTTTATCAGGCCTTCCTTCCCTGCAGTGCTTCCTTACGCTTGTAGGAGAAGGAACATGACTTTGGTGTCAATGTTGTCACGTTCAAGCTCAGCCAGTCCCGGCTTCTATTTTGTATCCCGCGTTCCTGGGCTTGGGGGAGGGAGGTCCCCTCGACGTGTGAGCTGCAGAGTTCGCCTCGGTTTTGTCTGTGGCCAGGTGCTGTGAGGGGTGTTCTGAAGGTGGGGGCCCCTGCGAAGCCCGTGCCCGTGCCCAGCTCTGCTGGGGCTCGCCCGACCCAGAGGGTGTGGTCCGCCCTCCGCATAGCAAGAACCGGTAGTACATCAAAATGTTTTTTATTTGAGACACAAAAATGCAAAATTGCTGAGATATCAAACGTTTCCCGACCGGCTACAATACTGCCACTATGTACAAAAGATCTGATGATAACTGTGCACACATATAAAAATACAGTATGCGTTACTATGTACAGTACATGTGCAAAATGTATGGCATTCAGACATGATACGGAATTGATTTCAGGGGTGCAAACAGCAAATACAAAGGCATCATGGTTTTCTTTTAAAAAACAACATAAAGGCAATACATGAATGGACCCCCCGATTGCCATAATTTTTTTGTTTATTAAGCTAGTGCTTTAGTAAGCGGGGCTCTGTAGGTTGGTATCTTTCTCCTTGTTTTCATAAAGTGAGATGCTAAGACATAATGTGACCATGAAAATAAGAAGAGAAACACCTATCACGCTGTGTTTCTATTGCAAGCAAGAGAAAAGGAAACTAATCTGCACTTAGGAAGAAGCTCTGTATTACTACTAAATATGTATTATTCTTAAACCAACAAAACAAATCTATACTATTTTACATGAAAACAACAGAGAAGTATCTACATCTTTGTGAAAATTATAACCTTAAATGGGTAATACCTTTTTGGGACTGACTGTTGAGATCTCGTTAGTCTCAAATTTTAAATAAAAAGTGCCTCCTTTTGGCAAATACTTGGCAATGCCTTTGGTTCCTTTAAAGCAAGTTTGCATTACTCTTGGTTACTTGAGGTTAAGTACTTTTGGTAGATACTAAACCCTCTCCTAAATGCTCCCTCCTCGTCCCCAGTCAGCAAGTTTCCTTACAGCAGAATGTCGAGAGGTAATTGTTATGAGTCGCGGTGATTCTATGAACTTGGTTAAAGCTTTCTCTTAGTAGTTGGCACAAAGCTCTGTTGAACATGACTAGCTGTACTGATTATCGCCAATGACCTGTTTAGATTCCAGACGGCACCTCTGGTCTGAGATTGCCATCCTGCTGTCACAGAACGGTGACAGTTCCTGGTCACGATTCACAGAGCTATGTGTTAGTGCAGAGGGGGAAGCGCTCTTTTGTAAACACGGGCAGCTGGGTGGCGCCCGGGCCTTGAATCCGAGATCGCGGCTTAGAAAGCCTCTGCGGGGACGCACGTACTCCTCGGATAGTGCGAGGAGGGGTGAACGGGGAGCACACGGGGGCCTCCTTGTGGTCCTGCAGGCAGAGTCACTTCACAAATGGAAAAGGTGGCCCGGACAGACCTGCGCATCGGCAGGGTTGGAGACAGGGCAAAGAATGGCCGCGTCTTGTTATTTTCCAGTGGGGACTACAGCCACTTAGAAGGTGAGCCGAAGCGCAGTTAGGATGCTCTCCAAACACACAGACCTGCCCTCGGAAGCTGTGCTCCTCGACGGAGCTGCCCTTCCAGTTAACGCGCTTGGATCACCTGGGCTAATTCCGTGGCCTCCAGGGCAGTGGACAGTTCGGTAGTCTGCTCTGTTGCCAGGGGTCAGGAGGATGCATGTGTGCGGAGAGGGGTGACCCAACAGGGAGGGTTCTGTGTGGATCCGGAGAAACGGGCCGTCCCTCTCTAAAGTGACCGCCGGCAGGAGCCTGTCTGGGGATGGGAGAGGGACTGTCCCATCACTTGTGGGGACAGCTGTGTGGCTGGTTTCAGCCTGGGAATTCTGAACGGGCGCCGAAGAAAGCGAGGTGGCCTGGAATGATCTGGGGGGGGGGGAGGGCAGAGGAAGCCTGAGTCCACTGTGGTGACCAAATGGGTGACATGCTGCCGACACATCACTCGGGGCTGCACCAGACTGCCTTCCGAAATCGCACTTCCTAAAGTGTCAGTTACATGGATCACAGAACCGGGCAGTTTTTAAAAAGGAAACTTAAATAAGATCTCTCTAGCATTACAAAAATAGTCCTATAAAACACAGAGTATCTGAGCAAGAAATCCCACGAATTGAGAATATATCTATGTACAAATATGTGGCCAATACTGTACAGTAGATTGCACAATTCAGGAAGAACGCTAGCACGCGAACCCCCAGCAACACGCCGGAGGGGCCTCCCTAGACATGCGCTGCTGAAATCTCCAAGGTGACCCCAGGCCCCTAGACTCGCAAAGCCCGGAGAAGCTCTGGGCTTTCCGTGCATCCCGCCCCGGAGCACACGAGCTGGTACTTGCATACCCTAGAGAGGCAAGCTCGATGCGCGGTGTTTCGGGAACATTCAGGGAAGTCAGACTGGACGGGAGGGCGCATGTCCAGGAGCTGGTTCTTGCCTTGGCAATATGATGTTCTGCAAGACGGCGGACCACACTCCCACGTCTACACTACACGCATGCATCCCGGCCGGCCTGCCCTGTGCTTTATGGCTGTGACAATAAAGATAGTCCTCTGTGGGGCACGCCTTTCCCACCGCTTACCCTGTGTACAGTGAGTCAGGTCAGAGGGGCCTCGATGACAGCGTTGTCTTTGGTCACGTCACCTGCTGCACACGTCTGCGTCCTCACGCTAACCTCGAACACGGAGCTGGGACCCCGGACGGTGGCTTCCCTGCCACGCGGGCTGTCGCCCGAGCCAGGACGGGAGGGCGCGGCGGAATGGTGCGAGTGGGGGGCTGGTGGAGTTCGGGTCGGGAGGCTCCTGGCCCTCCCTTTCGAGGAAGCCCTGTATGTAAGGGTTTGAACCCATGTGTGAAGTGGGTACTTCAGCAATTCCTAGTCAAAAGCAAGCAGGCTAGTGGGCTGGCATTCTCTGCACTCAAGTGTGTATTTTTGGACAGCACCCTTCCTGTGGCACGTTTCAGACCTTGTTTTGAAAAAGCAACGGGAGAGCCGAGGGCGAGGAAAGCATCTCGGTGCGTAACTCAGGCTGGTGGAAATACAAAGTCCATGAGAGTCAACAGCGCTAGCTGGTCACTTGCCTCCTACGAGTCCACGTGTGGAGGAGGTAAGCCCCAGACAAAAACCCACGGCCAAGACCACCCTCAGACAGTACCTGCCCAAGTAGACAGCCCTGTCCCCGGAGACAGGCCCTTCTGGAAGGGACGGACTGGGGTCGCCCGTCCCACCTGGGGTGACACACTCTCTTGGCCTGGCTCACATGGTGGCGTTGTGCTGAACCAGGTTACTGGATTCCAGGCGTGGGATAACCAGTTTCTAAACGTTTAAACTACTCCCTCAGACCACACTGAGCATAACCGCTTCTGCCCTGAACCCTTCCAAAGTCTTTCAAGTTGGGAAATGCCAGTTAACAGAGGGCTCCAGTGTTCTGGGCGGCTGAATACTGGAAAAACAAACTTTCCTTACATGGAGTAAAATCTACAAACCAAGATAAAGATATGAAGTAAGATCAGCTCTTAGGCAAAGCGCAAACCCAGCAGTGATGCCCAAATTCTTTCCGAATAATGGGTCAGGTTGGCTCTTTCATGTCACTGTGGAAATATCACCATCTAAGGACCCAGAGAAAGCAACCTGACCCTCGGGTTTACACGAAGTGAGGTGTAGAGCGTGATAATATTATTTAACAAACACCTTCACACTTTTTTGGTAGATTTAGGTTTTTTTTTTTTTTTTTCTTTCAGTTATTTACATTTTGTCATATCCTTAAATGACTAGCCTGAAATAATTTTGGAAGTCCTGTGATAGTTGGCATTTTAAAAAATTCTTAAACTACTCAGCAAATGTGTGATAACTTCTTTTCTATATAAAACAATGACTAGTAAAACCTCCAGTTTTTCTATCTTCGGCTTGCTAATCTAGTGAGAGCTCGGGTATATCATCCAGTTACAAGCCTGAAAAATGACCGTCTGGGAAAACGGCTGAGAAGAGGCGGCCAGAGCTGGGGCCCGGCAGCCAGCCCGCTGAGATTCTCACCCGGAGCCCCTGCAAGGAACATTCGGGGCTCCTGGCACACTTCTCCTCTGCCCTCTCTTTGCAACTCAACAGCTCAGAAGGGTATTTTACACTAAAGCCTTCCTTGGTTCTTTGAGATGGGTCTGGTTACCTGAAATCAGTCGGCATTTCTTTAAATATGGAAATACACATGGCTCAAGTACTCTAGAAATAGTTGAGTTACTAAAACAAGTAGGACCACTGGATACCCAATTCCTTACCCCAATGTAGGCTGTACATACCACAATGTCAGAGTGTACATACAAATGTCTAATATACACATTAAAATCCATCTAATCAACCCCGAGGGTCGCTAATAGAATTTTCAGTGTTATCAGTATACGTGGACTTTGTACAGTGGATGGTTTAAAAGGACAGTATTTTGGAGACATCAGGTGACAGTGAAAGATCTTCCACTTCAATTTAAATGTGGGAAGCTACGGTAAGATTCCCCAAATCACAAACTACGACACAGGAAAACGATGTTGGTTTCCGAACGGAGGCAGAAGTCTGCAGCTGCAAGCTGTCTGGGAACGGGCGGGCGCCCTCCATGGCCTCTGCTGCCCGGGGCCCGGCTCCGGCCTGTTCTAGGACAGACCGCATGCAGGGGCCGCTCACCTCCCGCCACGGGCACTCTCGTAGGGAGTGGAGCTGTCTGCCTTGTAGGTGGGGTCTTAAGGTGACCGCAGAGGCGTAAGTGTAGTTCAGTTGATGACCAGAGCATCCTCGTGTCACGCTCCTGCACATGTCACTCTTCTGTCTTTATTCATTCTTTGCCAAAGTCTGGAGAAACAGGTGAGTCTTCTTTGACCAGTGATTTTTCAGAAGGCCCTGTGCTATGTTAAGTTGTAGAAATTCACTGCCTCAGTGCAGTGAAATGTTTTCACACTCGGTTTCCAGGCTGTGACCATCTATCCCTTCTTCCCGTGACAACATATTGTAATTGCAACAATGCAACTATGGATCTGTCTCTAAAACCTGACCTTTGAGAATGATCTTCATCTTCTTAAACGTCATGGACTCGAAGGACAATCTGTGATGTTAGTCCCACGGCAAGGGCAGGTCCTGTGGATCTAGAAAGTCAGCGGAGAACATGCTGGGAGCGGGCGTGCTGAGGGGAGTGAGTCCTGACGTGTTAGGCATGGTAATGTCCAGCCACTCCATGTTGTCCAAGTTTGAGTCCGAAAGGTCAAGTGACAGACATGGGGTGCTGGCAGCAAACTGGGCCTCGGAAGTCTCCATGGGGGAGTGTGAGTGGTCCAGCACGCTCGAGTGACTCAGCAGATCGTTCTGGAGGTCCTCGATCAGAGAGAAGGGCTCCCTGTCGTCACTGCTGCTTTGTAGTGGAGTAATTTCGTTGGCCGAGGGTAAAGTGCCATCCAAGAAAGCTTCCAGCTGGTTCTCTAAGCTGGCAGATAAACTGCTCATGGGTTCTAAGGAGATGGGTGGTGCCATCTGGACCTGTGGTGGTGGCCGGGACACCACTGTGTTGACTGGCATTGTGGTGATGCTGGCTGTCACTGGTCTCATTTTGGAAATAGGCGAAGGCTCCTCTTTGATAGGGAGGGAAATCTCTGTGCAAAATAACGGAAGTGATCAGTAAGTAATGATTTACTACTCTGGAAACATTTCTATCAATTACCAGGACAGTTGTTTAACTATTCTGTGAGGACTTAGACACAGACCATCGTAGGGGTAGGAGGAAGAGAATGCTGTTGGTCAGGTATGCTCCTTGGTAACCTAGAGGGTGATGGCTCATTTTAGTTAAACAAGCATTTAAATTTATAACATTCTGATATGCTTTCTATCCTTTTTAGTAAGAGTGGTAAGCATCACATGCAGTTGTATGCCACTAGGTAGGAGTCGGTGGATTTATTTGAGTATTGATCTTTGGGTCCTTGTTCTCGGTTACTTCAGGCTTCAGACAGGCTACCGTGGATCTGCCATCACTGCGGTTGCCACCCTTAAAGTCAAAAGGTATGTCCCGTTTGTGCAGACATGAAGTACCTTCTGAATATCATGACGGATCTAATCATATTCTTTTTCCTATTACTGTTACAGTTGAACTGCGTGCCCAGTTCAGCCATATATGTTCTGCATAAAGTTCTAAAGAGATACAAAGCCATCTTATTTTATTCCCGAATTAAAGCTAACACACAGCTCCTTTGACCTTCTTTTCCTTATTTTTCTGACTTTTTTGTCTCGTTTTCTGAGTTTACCTAAAATCTTAAAGATCTGGCAGATGTGTTAATAAGCACTGATGATGAGTTCTTCCTTGCCAGATCAAGTAGAAAGTGAAGGCACCATCTGCTCTAGATACCAGCGTTCATTTAATACATTTATTTGGATAAAGTTTCTTTTTTACTTTCTTATGGGTATCTCATTGGTTTCATTTCTATGCAAATACTGGAGGAGAAATGGATCTGCTAAGAGCTGTGGGAACTCAGTGACTGGGATGCAGAAACACTCAGACTCCTGTGTGTGAGTTATCAACCATGTGGACTGACCGTGTGCACTGTGTCGACCGAGCGGACTGATTCTTCTCCCTGCGTGTGTCTTGAGTACAGTTTGTTGTTTGTCATTTCCTGTAGTCCGCTCTAGAATTGTTCTGAAAGCTGACAGTTCTAGGTAACCAGTCTCAGAATCAACTCTTTAAATCTCTGTTTTCATTATCATTGGTATTAGTTCACAATAATATAATGTCCTCATTGGATACTTGGCCATTAAAAAAAAATTACTTGTAGGAAATAACTCATTTGATGACTTTGTCACATTTTAATTTCTAAGTTTAGGCTGTAAAAATTACTCCCTTTAATCAATGAGAAAGTCTTTATTTTCACCAGGTTTGGCAAAATGCATTAAAAAAAAAAAAACACCTTAAAATCAGGCCGTGAAACGTTTATTTCCATAGCATAGATAGAAGTTATTTTGCGAGGCCAGTGTAGTTCTTAGAAAAAAAATCTATCTGCGTGTGTAGAGCTATAATTAAATATCAGGAATTTCCTTGTGTCTTCAAAACCAAATAGTACCTGCTATGAATGGAGAAATGTTGACCATTGTTTAAAAATCTAAATAAAACTCCTTTCATCCAGGTAACTTAAGAATACTTTATTCCAAAACAGCATTTTCAATTTTAAAATACTGATTTTTATACTTATTTTGAAAGATACATTTGCTGAGGTAGAGATCCTTGATTTTGTGTGTGTGTGTGTGTGTGTGGTTAATATCCTTTATCCCTTTTTAAGATGATACACTATAAAGGCTAAGATTTTCAATTACACGTAGAAAGTGCTTTAAAACTGCCTTTAAATTTTCACCAAGATACTAGGGCCTGTTCTACGTAAGGTGGTTGTTACAACATTAGTGTGTGCAGCCGAGTGCTTTTATCCCCCTCACAATCACCTATGTATGGGACAGGTTTTGAAGTTTTTCAACGTGGAATTTAAATTTGGCTCTACTTGGCTATTTTGAGATGGTCTGTGTTTTCAGCAGGCATAGATCTATGGATAAAATCTAACATTATGTTATTGTTTTAAGCTGAAACAGTGACTTTTCCTCCATTTATAAGTTGTTTTAATGTCCTAATTGAACATATTGAAAACAGTAAACTTGGTTGGAATTAGACTACGTTTCTCACTACTCCAAGATAGGCCATGAACTCTAAAGGAAAATGTTCATAAACTTGTCATAAAAGGTTACTCGGGGTGTGATGTGACTTGTGACCTACCTCCACTCTTAATGAGGATATCAAAGAGATCGTCCATCTGCTGGCTGTGTGCATTGGAAATCTACAACAAAGGAGAATAGAGATTAGCCTTCTTTCCTACAGGCACGGAAGGATTATCTAATTGGGAGCTCTGAGCAACCTTACAGAACATCTAGTTCTACTCTATCATTTGCTAATTTTGAGAACACTGAGGTCACCAGAGACATTAAGCCATTTACCCAGTGTGTCACAGCTGATGAGCTGACAGAGCAAGAATGGGGCCGATAACCTAGATCAGCTGACCTGTACATTTCCCTTACTTTTTAACACTGCATTTTGAGAGGCTGCTAATACTTGCTTTTAAAAATACTTTATTCATTTGCATTTAGGTAAAAATGTATGTATAAAGGTGATCATACTATATTTTTTCAGCTTTCCTGAGAGTTAGCTGACCTCCAATCAACTACACTTATATAGAGTGCACAGTCTGTTAGGTTTGACGTCTGTATATACCCATAATACTGTCAACAAAATCAAGGTAGCAAACCAACCCATTGCCCTGCAAGTTTCCTCACTGGCCTTTTGTCATAGTTCTCTCATCTCCAGACAACCCAGTGACGGCCTTTTATGATGATAGAGGAGTTTATTTTACATTTCCTCGAGTTTTATAGCAATGAATCCACACAGTATGTGTACTTTTGGTAGTGGAGGAGGCTTCTTTCATTTAACATAGTAATTCTGAGATTTATCCATGTTGGAGAGGACACCTTAGGAATATTTTTATTGCTCAGGAGGTTTGTTTTGGTTGTTTCCATTTTTTGGCTGTTAGAAAGAAAACTGCTGGGGGCGCCTGGGTGGCTCAGTTGGTTAAGCGACTGCCTTCGGCTCAGGTCATGATCCTGGAGTCCCGGGATCGAGTCCCGCATTGGGCTCCCTGCTCAGCAGGGAGTCTGCTTCTCCCTCTGACCCTCCCCCCTCTCATGTGCTCTCTCTCTCTCTCAAATAAATAAAAAAAATCTTTAAAAAAAAAAAAAGCTGCTGTGGACATTTGTGTACAAATCTCTGTACTGGGTAAATATCAAGGAGGGGCATGCTGGAATCAGAGGGTAGCTATTAAGAAATGGCTGTTTTGCAAAGTGATCATCTTTTTCCATTTCCACCAGCAGTGTATGGTATTTCCAGTCGCTGCACGTTCTCGTCGACACTTGGTACGGTCAGTCATTGCAATTGTAGGCATCTGCCAAGTGTACCGTAGTGGCATTGCACGGGGGTTTCAATGTGCATTTTCCTAATGACTCATAATGTTGAACATCTTTTCATGTGCTTGTTTGCCATCTGTGTATCTTTTTTTTGCTGAAATGGCTGTTCTAATCATTTGCCTACTCCAGACTTAGGGGTACTGTTTACATGCTGTATCATTTTCCAATTACTTACTTTCAACATGTGTCTTTGTATTTAAAGGATGTTTCTTCAAACCAAGAAACAGACTCTTAGCTATAGAGAACAAACTGATGATCACCAGAAGAGGGGGTGGGTGGGTGATGGCTGAAATAGGCGATGGGGATGAAGGAATGCACTTGTTGTGATGAGCACAGGGTGATGCATGAAAGTGTTGAATCACTATGTTGTGCATCTGAAACTAATACTACATTGCATGTTAACTGGAATTTAAATAAAAACTTAAAAAATAAAAATTTGTATCAACTAGGGGCGCCTGGGTGGCTCAGTCAGTTAAGCATCTGCCTTCAGCTCAGGTCGTGATCTCAGGGTCCTGGGATCGAGCCCTGCATCAGGCTCCCTGCTCAGCGGCGAGTTTGCTTCTCCCTCTCCCTCTGTGATTGCTTTTGCACTCTCTCAAATAAACAAATAAAATCTTTAAAAATTTATATCAGTGAAAAAAAAAGTATGCCTCTTATAGGTGCATGCATTAGTTCTCTATTGTATTACACGTTAACAAGTTTAGTGGCTTAAGAGTTATTTTCTCACAATTTCTGTGGGTCAGGAATTTAGCAATAGTTTAGATAGGTAGTTCTGGCTTGGGGTCTTTCATGGGAATGTAGACAAGATGTTGACCAGGCTATAGCCATCCATCTTCAGGCTTCGCTGGAGAATGTCCTTATAGAGACGGCTCATTACATGACTGGCCAGTTGGTCCTGGTTATTGATGGGAGGCCTCAGTTTCCCTTCACATGGGCCTCTCCAGAGTGCTGCAGGATGGTCCACGTGGTATGACAGCTGCCCTTCTCCAGAGCCAGCATCCAAGAGAGAGCAAGGTAGGAGGGGCATGCCGTTTATGAACTAGTATCAGAAGTCCAACACCATCACTTCTGCCCATGCTATTCTAAGCGAGTCACTCAGTCCAGCTCAGGGAGGAACTGCAGACATCTTAAAATATAGTTGAATCTGTTTTTAGTCATTTTGATAATTTCTGCATTTTAATTGTATCGTTTTCTCCACTAGCATGTCTTGTGCAATCAGTGATAGGATTAAGTTTGGGTTTACCATTTTGCTTTGATTTGCCCTGTTGTTCCTCCTAAGGTTCTTGTCCTTTAAGCAAGCAAGCAAGCAAGCAAGTAAATAAATATATATTCATTTGATTTATTTTTGGAATTCTAACTTAATCTTTCTATTTTATAAAAGCTGTACTACTTTAGTTATTGTAGGCATACAATATACATCCTTAATTTTTTGTAGGTTATTTCATGTACCATTGTGTATAAAATACAAAACCCCTGTAAACATAAAGATCTACTTCCTCCATCTTTTATTAGGTATTTTATTTTTTACAGTGTAGGTTTCTGGTGATGAATCCTTATTTTTTCTTTATCTGAAAATATCTTTAGTTCACTTTCATTCTTAAAGGACATTTTTACTTGATAGAGAATGCTGGTGTGACAGTCTCTTCCTCCCTACTAAGAATTTTAAAGACATTGTTCTGCTGTTTTCTGACTTCAGTAGTTTCTGATGAAAAGTCAGTCATAAAACAAATTGTTGTTACCCTGTGTGCATTGTGTTGCTTTTCTCCTGATGCTTTCAAGATCGGCTCTTTAATTTTTGGCTTTCAATAATTTGACTGACTAGGCCTTCTGTTTCTCCTGCTTGGTGTTCATTGAGCAACTCAAAGTTATAAACTTGTCTTTCATCACATTTGTGAAAAATCTGACCATTATTTATTTCTTAGAATATTTTACCTGCCTCATTCTCTTCTCAGAGTCCTATTATAACCATCCTAGACTATTCGATATTAAATAACATGTCTCTGAGGTTCTGTTCTCCTTAAAAAAAAATCTTTTGGTTATTCACAGTGGATAAATTCTGTTGATTTACAAGTTCGCTAACTTTTTACCTTTTACCTACTACCTTTTTCACTGTCCTCTCCATTCTGTGAAGACCATCTATAATTTTTTTTCATTTTAGAGATTTTTGTTTTATTTTCATTTCATTAAAAAATCATTTCTCATTTCCATATTTGCTATTTTTCATTCATTATGAATCTATTTCCCTTTACATCACTGATAGTTATAATAGTTGTTTTAAAATCCTTATCTGCAAGTTCTAACATCTGGATTAGCTGGAGTTGGTCTTGGTTGATTGCCTTTTGTCCTTGAGATAGGGTTGCATTTTCTTCCTTATTTGCACACTACATGTTATGAATGGCTATTATGGACATCAAATTGTGAAGCCTCTGTATTCTGTTATTTTTCTCAGATGAGTGGTTTCTTTTGTTTTAGCAGGCAATTAACTTGGTTGGACTTGACCTTCAAAATGTTTTTTTGGGCGGAAGTTCCAATCACAGCTCACATCTTTTATCTGTAGCTCAGCTTCTATGACCACTCAATGCCTATGTGGCTTAGGGGTTAGCTGGAGATGTGGACAGACAGGATTTGGGGATCTGCCCTCTAGTTCTTTCCCTTTTTGGGTTGCTCTCAACTAGGCTGACTTCCCGGGGCGTAAAGGCTATGGTTTTTCTACCAGTAGCCTTACCACTTAGCTTGACCCCCGAGTAAAAGCAGCATAAAGAGGGAACTCATGCTATCTTTTTTTTTTTTAAGATTTTATTTATTTATTTGAGAGAGAGAGAATGAGAGAGAGAGCACATGAGAGGGGGGAGGGTCAGAGGGAGAAGCAGACTCCCTGCCGAGCAGGGAGCCCGATGCGGGACTCGATCCAGGGACTCCAGGATCATGACCTGAGCCGAAGGCAGTCGCTTAACCAACTGAGCCACCCAGGCGCCCCGGGAACTCATGCTATCTATCACCCTTCCTCTGAGTGTGGACTCCTCACCAGACTGTGACTGCATCTATTCACTCTTCAGTGCCTTCGTGTTACTGCCAGGCTGCACCTGTGGAAGACTTCCTTTGCCAATAGTGGAATTGGAAGTCTGAGTAAACGTATTTGAAAAACCTCAGGATGCTCGGAGTTTGATGCTTAACGGTGTATAAAGAATACCAGACACTGATGTAGAGCTGGGCTCCCTCAGTCTATAAACATGAACCAGAGACGGATAAATGGCAGGGATTCCGATCAGCTGTCTTAGGTTAAAGTGAGGTAATCATTCTTTGTTGTTGTTACATGTATCAAGTGAGCAGGCTATATTGATCTAGACATGAGCACCAGGTTAGGAAGGATGTGTGCTACCGCTTCATGCTCTTAAAAAACTGCAGCTTAAGCTCTTTGCCTTTCACTCGCCTCTGTCCCTCGGTGAGGAGAACAGACGTCACTGCCAACGGGGAGGCTGGTCTAGTCCAGCACCATTTGTCCCCATTCTTTGTGTAAATGTTGATAACTATTTCTGAAATGTGGTTTTTCCCTCACAGAGAAGAGGCCCTGCTGAGGACGGAACTGAAGAGACCTTTTGCAACTCCCATGGTTCTGCTCCTTTGGAGCGAAGCGCATGGCAGCCGTCTACTCCCTCAGGGAGGCAGTCCGCCCTGCACCCCACCGGACGCTGCTGCCTGGTCCCGAGCACTTGCTGCGGCTGCTCATCAAGGCAACCAGGTAGGTCAGCATGAGACCCCCTGGTTGAGGGCACTGGCTTGGTTGGTGCCTGCTGCAAAAAGTGTTGACAGCTCTTGGTGGCAT